AAAAAAAAAACAAAAACCCAAGCAAAATCCTTCCTTTCTGTTCTCATACCTCACACCCAGGCTAAGAAAGTCTATCAGCTCTACCTGGGGCTGCCTCTCACCCTGAAGCCCATCCTCACCCACACCAATACCTGTCTGCCCTGCTCCCAGCTCCACAGAGGTCCCCTCTAAACTGGGACATCCCATCACCATTCTGTTTGTCTAGCACCCTAGGCGGGCAGGGGTTTCGCCTGGGGCCCTGGGCCTGGCCCCACACTAGATGCTCAATAAAACCATGCGTGCATGGGGCTGAGGGGCTCAGGGACCCAGAACAGACAGAGGTGCCCTACCCAGACCCTCCCCACACTGCTGCCCGGAGGCTTACATTGTTCTTGGCATTGGGCCGCATGCCTATGGTGCCAAAGATCTCCTCGCCAGTCTTCACCGTCAGGTAGTCCTCCATGTAGAACACCGTCTGCTTCCAGTGTGTGTATGGGGACTCGGGGCCTGGGAGCAGGCATGGCTCAGCCAGGCCTTGGCCTCCTCCCCCTGCCCCAAGGCCCCGGCCACACCATCCCCTCTACCTGGAATGCCCACACCCTAGGACAGTTCACTGAAGGCTATCCCCACTTCACCTTCTTCAGGCTCTGGCAATAGGGACCAGGCCAGCATTTTGTGAGTGAGGAAACCAAGGCACAGCATACACAGGTCACTTGCCCAAAGCCATGTCGTTAGAAGGCAGGGCTGGCACTGAAACATGTATGTCCCTCCACCCCATGGCCCTGTTTCTGTCACTACACCATCCCTGAATCCTGCTAGCCTCTCCTCTACATGGTGTCCCTAGCCTGCCTCCCTGCACTGTGCCCTGGCCTCACTGGTAGAGAAGCCGGTCCTCTTGTGGCAGCGGGTGAACTCGATGTTGAAGTAGGCCACCAGGGCGTGCACGTAGTCATTCCGCTTCACTTGCAGACAGAAGGGAGAAGTGAAGGTCAGGTCTTCCACCTTGACAGTGTAGATGTCCACCTCCTGTGGGACAGGCCCCATAAGACCACGCTGGAGGGGAGTCCCCCCATCATCACCGTCCTCTGCTCTCCCTTCTACCCCCTTGTTCCCTTGTTCAACTTAGGAGCCCACTCTCTTCAGCCCTGTGACCCTGCTGTCCTCTTCCCACTGGTCTTCCTTCACTGGGCCCAGGCCCCAGGCCCCAGCTCCTCATTCACTTCTCACCCCACCTGCCCGTCACTCTGTGACATTCAGTCTGTGTTTGAATGCAAAATCTGTGGTGCCATGCTTGGTCCCATGTTTCCTTCCTTCCAACATCTAAATGCAGACCAGACAGTTCTACCCTAACTGTTGAGAACCTAGCTGCTCCCTTCCTCTGCACAGGGGGACCACCATTGTCCCTCAACTGCCCCACCTTAACAGGCGCCACCCTCCCACCATGACCAGCAGACTGCATCAAACCCCAATGTAAATCCCTCCCTGGCTCCCTGTGCTCTCAGGCTGGCCCAGGCAGAGTCCCTCCTTTCCTATCACCTCTCTCCTTCACTCAACCACCATCCTTCTCCTACACACCAGCCCCTCCTAACACTTGGTTTTGCCCACCTCACACACCCCAGCTTGCTGTCACTATATTCTTTATTAGTGCCCCATGTGCATATGAACCAGCTCATCCCCAGAGCTTCCATTGTCCCAGCACACGCTGTGTGGTCTGGGTGCCAAGTCAGGTGTGCCCTCTACAGGACCAGCCAAGTGGGTCATGGCCAGCTTGTCTCACTCACTGCTGTGGCCTGCAGCCCAATGTGAAGCAGGACTGGCACAGATTTTTAAGGCTCTGGGCCTCTAGACTTTAGGTGATAGATCAGGCTCCAACACTCGGGGCCCTAAGGTGAGGCAATGGTCCTTCCCTGGTGGGGGTCACCCCACCACGCCCTCACCTTTATGAGGCAAGCATTAGTGACCAGCTGCTTGGGGTCCACCACGTCCACTAGGGGCTCCTTGATGGCCACATCTTTGATGCAGGACATATCAAAGCCGTACACGTTCTCCCACCCTGGAGAAGAAGCACGGAGGAGGGGTGAGCCCACAGCAGCCAGCCTGAGGCCCCACCCCACAGCTCCCCAGGCCTGTGCTCACAGTGGATCTTGTAGTCTTTGTACTGTCGGTCCTCGATAGCCGTTACATACAGTGTGGCTCGGTCTGGGAAGATGAGGCCATCAGGTGCCTACAGAAGGCCAGGGCATGAGGGCTAAGGGCCTTGGAAACACTGGCCCCCAAACCTGCCTCTCTCTACCCACTCTGCTCCTTCCCTGGTCTAAGCCAGGGTCATCTCCCACCTGGATTCCTCAGTTTTCTAGGCTTCTGTCCTCATCCCTAGTCTATTTCCCACACAGCTGGCCGTGCCCAGGAGCACCCATGTCAGATCCCCCCTGGGACCTCTGAGAGGAAAAGTCAGTCTCATGAGGGTTCACAAGGTCCTACAAACTCTGCACATACCCTACCAACCCTCACTTCCTATGACTGCTCCAGACCCTCGCTCCACTTTCCCCTCCCTGAAGCTCAACATGCAGCATGGGCATTTCTACCCCAGAACCTTTGTAATGGCTGTCTCCTCTACCTAGAACCCATTGCAGCTCTTTCCTATCCTTCATCAAGTAGTCTTAGTCACTTGGCCTGCTCAGTGGCCTGCTCAGAACTGAGCACCTGGGACCACCCTATCCCTTTACCCAGCTATGATTTTCTTCTCACCTCCTTGTCACTCCTTAGCTTGCAGCGCCTGGGACACACATTTTGGGCTGTCAGCCTTCTAATACCTGTGCATTCAACCTCCACATTAACTCATCTCTGCGGGAGTGATCTACTGTGGCCAGTTTTCTGCCTGGACCTTGACTGATACATGCATGACAAATAGCCACCAGACCCCAGCCTGTGTGAGCTGCTCCCATCCCATCAGGGCTCTCACCAGCCACTTGTCTCGGGCATATAGGACGGTGTTGAGCATGGACTCGTAGAAGAGGCAGTAGCCCATCCACTCGCTGATGATGATGTCCACCTTTTCCACCGGCAGCTCCACTTCCTCCACCTTCCCCTTGATGATGGTCACCACTGTGGGACAGATAAGGGCAGCTGCCATCAGCCCCAGGCCCCTCCTGTGGCAGTCCTTGTCTTCAAAAGCTAGGGCTGGGGTGGATTTGGGTATCTTCCCAAGAACTCTGTGAGCCAAAGCCACACCCTCTTAACTCTATTTTCAAATATCACTCTGGACATTTTTGGGACAACAGCAGAAGTTTTTTGTGGACTGGGCATCATTTGGGTAGGTTTGGTATCATTAAGTTAATAGTATGATCACATTCTCAAAATA